TATGCATTCTGCTTTGTTGGTGTTGACTCTTGTAGGTGTAACGTAACCGTTGTCGGCGAAGTGGTAGAATACTTCGGCGTTGGCGCTTTCGCGAGGATTTTCGTCATCCATTGGGACGTCAACAGAGCAGTAAGGGAGAGGTCCAGCTTCCTCCGAGGCTTCATCCACGTTCTGCTCATCCCAGTCAGCTTCGTCTGCTGCCATGGCGAAGGCTCGGTCACCATGGAAACCACCATTGGGGTCCCGGTCTTCGTCCAGGTTGGCAAGGTACGTCGGAAGTGTGAGTCGCTCGTAGAAAATGACATCATGTGCTGCTACTGTTTCCTTTGAGTGGACGTAAAAAATCTTCCACGCGTTGTAATTTCTTTCGATGCCCAGGTGTAGTCCCCACTATGCGCGTTGGGAGAATCGGCCGGCTCGTGCAGCTGGGGGTCGGTACAGTACCATGCAGCTGAAAACTCTTAGCATTTTTGTGCTGCCCTGTTTTCCTGTCCACAGCAGGTGCGGTGATGCGTTGTTCGGGAGCGATGATGACGAGAGCAAGTTGTGCAGCATGACAACGTGGTCCATTGCTTCGGGCCATTGGTGGTTGGGTAGCCGCATGCCACGTAGTAGCTTGCGCATGATGTTCTGGAGAGTCCTGTTCATCCATTCTGCTACGCCTTGCTGTTGGTGAGCGTAGGGAAGGGAGATGAGCAGCTTGATCCCTCTTCCTGCCAAGTACTGCTTGAACCTCTGTGAGGTGTATTCTCTTCCTCCGTCTGACTCGAAGCTCTTTAACTTCACACCTGATTCTCGTTCTGCTACTGGGAGCCAGGCGACGAAGGCCCCGAAAGCCATATCTTTGCTCGGAAGATTGAGGTGCCAAACGTAGCGTGTGGCGGCATCGATGAACGTGATGGTGTAGCTGTATGATCCTTGTCCAGGTTCGTGATTGTACAGGATGTCGCTGTACACTTTCTCGAGTGGTGCGTAAACTGGAGCGCTAGGGTTGTGGTGAGAAGCGAACGGCCGATGTGGTAAGTCGGCTTCGGGGTAGGTAAAGCACGTATCGCGAGCTCGTCGAATTTCGCTTCCGTCGGTTAGAAGCAGTGAGTCTTTGTCGAGCACGCCTGCTCTGATTGTGTTATTAAACACCGTGTTGCTTGGATGTTCCATTCGTGCGTGCCAGATGTCTTCGCCAGCTCGATGTCCGGGTGAGCGACGGTACAAGTCGGAGTTGGAGTAGAAGCTTGCGGTGAGGTTTGCGCTTCGATGTACTTCTCGTGGTGTTAGATTCAGTTGCTGCGCAGGAGTCGGTGGAGTGTCGTCGTCGATTGGGGCTGGTGCAGTTGAAGGACCCGCGGTTGGTGTCGATGCTGTCTCTGCTTCTGCCGATGTTGTCTCTGTTGCTCCCGATGTTGTCTCTGCTGCTGCCGATGTTGTCTCTGCTGCTGCCGATGTTGTCTCTGCTGCTGCCGGTGTTGTCTCTGCTGTTGCCGATGTTGTCTCTACTGCTGCCGATTGAATTGTTGCTAATGTTGTTGTTCGTTCTGCCTCAGGGATGGTGTGCCAATACCAGAAACCTTCGGGGCTGAAGTCAGGATCGAGATCCGGTGGGTGCGTCCAGGAGGTGAAGGTGACGATTCCGTCGCTGTCGACGGTGCCTAGATCTGGAACGAAGTCAAGGACGAACACGTTGTTCTTCAGCACGGCCTTGCCGATGTAGGGGCCTCCTCTTCCGTGGTATAGCTTGAACTCCTGTGTTGTACTGTCTGCTTCGAGGTGGATACCTTTCGCCATCAGCTGACTGACACTTAGTAAGTTGTAGCCGAGTCCCTCCACAATTAAAACCTTTGACATTTGTAGTATGACATTTGTCTCTCGTGACTGAAGTTGCACTACGCCTTGTCGTCGTGTGTGCAGGTTCTGGTTGTTGGCGGCGGTGATGACGACTTTGCACTGAAGTTGGTGTTCGCGTTGAACGAAACGACCCGGAGAGCACATATGCTGTCCGCAGCAACTGTCCAAGAACCAAGTGTCTTTCCCGGATGGCTCGCTTTGAGCAATGGCTGCATACGTCGGGTTCGGTTGAAGTGACTCGCGACGAGGGGTAATGTTGTCGAGTCGCTCTTCCGGTGAGTAGTGTGGTGGTGACTCGGTGATGCAGGAGTCAGTCAATCTTGCCATGCAGCTGACGATGTTTCTTGCTCCTAGTGCAGATTGTGTTGACGATGTCGTTTGAGGGCTGCAGTTGACTCGTGGAGTGTGCTTGTGTGGACGCCACTTGACTGCTTGAAGGACAAAGTTGGCGTTGCGGCGGCGTTGACTGCTGTCGATTCGGGCAGTGTGTGCGAGGGTGCCCTGAAGTCTTGCTGAGATGACAGAACGGAGGTACGGGTTTTGGTTGATGCCGGTTGTTGTTGTTGTTGTAGCGTCGTTGAGTGTGAAACGCAAATTCGGGTACTGACGTTTTCTTCTTGCGCTGCTCCTCTTGCAGGTCCATGTCTTGCTGCTCAGCGTGAATTTTGGCGCATAGTGCTGCTTCGGAGATCTTCCCGTGAGCTCGGAGTATGGCGCGAGTGGAGCGCCAATGAGGACCAAGACCGCCAATGACAACTGTGACGAAGGCGTCTTCCGATATCGACCCTCCACATCGAAGGAGTTTGTCGCGCAATTCGCGACAGCGACTGATATACGCCATCCCCTTTTCGCCCGGTTTCATTTCCACTGTTGTCAGTTGTGCCATTAACCGACTCTGATTGACGCTGTCTGTTGCCTGATACAGGTTCTTCAGGTGGTTGTACGCGAGCTCGGCGGAGTTCCCGTTTCCCCGGTAAGACTGAATGTTCTGCTGTTGGTTCGGTGTGACGTTGCGCAGTAGGATTGTGTACGCCATCATTGATTAATATGTGTACTGCTGCTTGTCGTATTGCGTCCCGTGCGTTGGATATGGCAGAGACCCGTCGAAGAAGCCAAGAATCTGCGCGCCTTCCATCATCGGCTCGAATTCGAACGACCAGGTAAAGAAGTCTTTTCCGTCGAACGGTCTTGATGTCTGCAGTTTTAAGAAGTGCGCAAACAGCGACTGGACTTGAAGTGCATCCAATGTCTTTTCTAGCCCAGGTGAAGGCTGCTGACGTGGCATGAAGGTGACGGAACCGCGCTGAGGTTCGTACGAGGCGAAGGTAGGTTGTTGTTGCTGATTTCCTCGCGCGTAAGATGAACCGTTGAGGCTCATCGGAGTCACGTTGTTGTTGTTGCTGTTGTTTGACTTCGCAGGTGCCCCTTGCTGGTGTTGTTCGTAGAAGGACATGAAGGAGAAGAACTTCTCCATCATGTCTGGGTCGAAGCCCGCAACTTGATTTGCGGGAGTTTCGGTAGACCCAGCTGCCGGTCTTGTTGCTGTGCCCTCCTCTGTCTGTAGACCAGAGGCAAGAGGTGGAGTAGGAGTAGTACCGGGAGAGTCGTTAGAGGAGCTTCTCTCCTTCTGCGTTGCCATGCCTTATGATGTTGTAGGTGTCTTGATAGTAGTTGAGTTTGCCCTGATAGCTCTCATACCATGTTGGGCTAAGAAAAGCCCTTAGGATCTTTGCAGGACTAAACTCTGAGTAGGAACAATGTAATAGCGGAAGCGTTTAATGATAAGTCTGTGAACCACCTTGCGCTGGTATGTGAGGGCAAAGTAGATTGATTAAAACAAAGAGATACAAGCTTTTATAAGAGTACAAGGGAATATGAAGGGTTATAGCTAATAACTGTTTTGCTGTTGCTGTTGCGGTTTGATACTGTGACGACTCGGACAAGTGTTCAACAACGAGTCAGTTGTTTGTCCTTGCTGTCGCGCTGTACTTGTCAGGTCAAAGGTCGCTGGCCTTTGACTTTCGTGTAACCTCCAGCAGTTTTGTTCAACCTCCAAGGGTTGAATCGCCGATGCTTCGCTGTGTTTCGCCTCGTTTACGACTTAGTGCTTCGACACGACAGTGGCGCTTAAATTACTTGTTTCCAACAGGAACATGCCCTAAGACACGGTTGCTTCCATTTCAGCATAGATTCTCATTCCATGGTGCTTATTTTTTGTTCAATTGATTCTGAAAGCGAGCCAGAACGAGGTAAAACGTTTCAGATGGATAGCTAGAGTAGGGTTGCATCTTCCACCTTAGGAAGTTTGTGACAGGCACTATAATAACTCATTAGACAAGTTGAATTATTAAACATTTATTACAGCTCACGCTTTTCGTGACTAGATGTTTCTTCCGTGATATAGCACACCTCCAATGCGAATGGCCTCAAGTTTCACATTCTCGAGCCGCACGGCGGCGGAAAACCTCGCAAAACTTTGACCATCGGAACTTGTGGCTTTCTCGTGGGCATATTGCTGTATGTGGACTACTGGTGTGGGTTTTAGGAAAACACTTTCCCGTCAACGGGAAAGCAGTACATCGTCAACGGTCAGTGGTGGTAACGACCCACAGGCCACGACAATAGACGGAAACCAAACAGAACACAAAGAGTTTCGGAAATGTTTGAAAACTGTGGCTGTGGTGGTAGTGTCCCAATTTGTCCCTACCGACTCCTACCGCGAGTGAGGAAAGGGTGATTTCTGAAAACAAAAGCAATTTTGTTTCCTTTGGTGCCACAACTTCAACATGACAGACAGTGGGGCGTGGCTCGTACAGAAGGTGTTTGTCAACGTCAAACATCACCCGGAAACCTCCCCACCGAGCAATGTCCACATGCGGTTCAGTGTGCGAGACACTCACCCACGCACACCGCACCGCCGCCCCCACAAACAAATTAACAGCAGAATGCTCCTCTATTATGCCCCCCATGCAGTCCCATCAGAGTTGTATGTTCACACAGCTTCCCCCATTGTTCACTTCTGCTGCGAGCCGCGCGCAATGGCTCCTCACCAGACCTTCCCTCGCCTCTGCTATCACGCCGCTCTGCTGCTCGCGCTTTTACTGCTGTTAGCTCCGCCGCGAGGAACGAATGCGGCGTCGCGCGTCGTGATTGCGCCGATGCGCGGGTCGAACGACCGCCTGGAGGTGTTCAAGCTGTCGGAGAACCTCTGGTTCGCCGGAACCGCGCAGCTACCGCCGTTTGAAGACGCTGGAAACGGTGGGAAAAGCGAAGGAGATAACAGCGGCGGAGATAAAAGCGGCGGAGATAACAGCGGCGGAGATAACAGCGGAAACAACGGCAACAGCACCGGTAATGACAACAGCGGAAGCGATTCGAGCGCGGGGTTCGCGGATGATCCGCGCGACTCGATGGAGTCGCGCAAGGAGGAGCTGCTTGCGCGGCTCCGCGGCGGCGGAATGGAAGCCGCAAACGCCGACTCCAGGAGCTCCGCATCTGCGTCCGCAGCCCCAGCGAGCGCGCCGGCTCCCGCTGTGGATCCGCTGGAGCAACAGACGGTAGGCTCGCGACTCCGAGTCGGATGCTAAGGTTCCGTCACTGGGTGCGATTTTCGGACTGTATATACCTCAGTCACTGAGATATGGTGTCTCAGTCACTAAAGAACGGTTCTTTACCTTCCACACTACAGTTACTTTTATTACAGTCACCCCTGCCAAACCTGTCAATCTCTGTAGCATTCGCGTGGCCGAAAGCATGTGTTGTGCAGTTCTCTTTTAAGCCACATGCCTCCCACAATGGGCAAAGTTGTTAAGGTTTTCTTTCGTCCCGCGTTCCCCAAAACAGGAGCAACGAGTGGCGGAGGTGGGGGAGTTCTCCGCGCGCACGACGGAGCTGAAACCAGTGGTGAAGCGGAAACCGGCGGTTGGGTTTCCCGGGATCAACGAGTACAGCGGAGTAATGAGCGGTACACCACCTAAATACAACAATACAGTTGTAAGAAACGTGTTTGAGTATACAGTGCGGATTTTGGACGTGCATGAACACTAAATATGCTCCTTGTTACGTTTCAGGTCCTTGTGAGCCCTCCTGACGTCGCTCTGTGTGTGGGCAATGGATACATCCTTCACACTGTCAATGTTGGTAAGCCATTCTTTCACCTGCTTCCTCTTGCATTCACTGCCGCGCTGCTCCATTCCTTTCAACCACTTTCACCCCCCACACCCACTTCATCTTCCCCCACAACCACTCCCTCTTCCCCCACACCCACTCCCTCTTCCCCCACACCCACTCCCTCTTCCCCCACACCCACTCCCTCTCCTCCCCTCCTCTTATCCCCATTGGCAGCGATGGTTGTGTATGACAAGCAAGGGAAGCAGCTCACTCGCATCATCCCACACAACGAGGCAAGAGCTTGAGCAATCATAGTAATCGCTATCTTTTAAGGCGTGAGTGCAGACATGTGCACATCCTCTTGCACCTCCACATTCCCAGTCAGAGATACTATCATTTCTGTCTCCCCACTCTCTTCCCTCCTTTCACCCGTTCCCACCATCGACGTCAGAACCGTGCTGCTTTCCAGTCTCCCTCCCACCCCCTCTCCTTCCCCTCTCTCAGCCTCTCCTCTCCCCCGGCCCAGCACCAAATTCTCCACTCCTTGCTGTCAGTTCGTCAACGTACCATCCATACCATTCCACGGTGGTCCGCCAACAAGGTAACACATTCCCACCAATCCCACCATTTCATCATCCTCCCTCCTTCCCCAATCCCCTCGCCAGTTCGTCGCGGTTCTACCAGCGGTGGTGCTGAGAGGAGGGAGCCGTTGAACGCATCAGTAGTCCAACTAATAAGCTGACGCCATCCCACGACCATCCCACAATCCCACCATTCGCCCCGTCTTTCACGACCCTCACACCAGTTCTTCAGGGTGCTGCCGCCAGTGGTGGAGTGGAGGGGACCTGTTCAACACATCAGTAGTCCAAGTAGCAGACTGACGCCATTCCACCATCCCACCATTCCACCATCCCACCATTCCACCATCCCACCATTCCACCATCCCACCATTCCACCATTCCACCATTCCACCATCCCACCATTCCACCATCCCACCATTCCACCATCCCACCATTCCACCATCCCACCATTCCACCATCCCACCATTCCACCATCCCACCATTCCACCATTCCACCATCCCACCATTTCACCATCCCACCATTCCACCATCCCACCATTCCACCATTCCACCATCCCACCATTCCACCATCCCACCATTCCACCATGCCACATTACCCATCCGCCGCTCTGTCCACACACCCCCCGCCAGCTCTTCGGGGTACTCCCATCAGTGGTGGAGACGAGGGACCCGCTCAGCACACATCAGTATTTTTTTTTGTCGACTCAAAAGCCTCCGTCCACACTCCCCACGCCAGTTCTTCGGGGTACTGCCATCAGTGGTGGAGCTTAGGAACCCGTTGAACACATCAGTGTTTGGAGACAACATCGGTGACATGACCTGCACATATGACCCGCGCGCCAGGCGCTTCTATCTCTCCACCTACTGGACTGTGAGTGGATGGGTGTGGGGGGTGGAGAGTGTGGTGCTGCTGGGTGCTGCTGGGTGCTGCTGGGTGCTTCTACCTCTCCACCAACTGGACTCTGAGTGCTGAGCCGTGCCTCAATTCCCCCTCACTTCCTTGCCTCAATTCCCCATCCCTCAATTCCTCTCTCACTTGATTCCTCTCTCCGTTGCTTCCTCCCTTTCTTGATTCCTCTTTTTGTCCTGTCTCCTCCCTACCGCACCACCCGCCCCCCTCGTCTCCTCGTCCTCCCTCTCGTTTTCCTCCGTCATTCTCTTCCCGTTTTCCTCACCCCTTCTCTTCCTTCTCATTGACCTTCCTTCGACCATACTCTCCACATGCCCTCCTTCGCATTCCCACATCTCCTCACGTGCAGTCAGGGGGTGGCAACAACACGTATGACAAGTTTGGGCAGACGAGGAGGCGAGGCAACACAACAGTGGGCTCGGGGCTGATAGTGGCAGCATCAACCACCGACGACCCCACCCGGGACTGGAATGTCTTCTTCATTCCCGGCTCGTACGCTCGCCTCTTTTTTTCACCTTAATTCTCTCACGGTTTCTCACATTCCTCTCTTTTTCTCACCCTTTGCACCGTCTTTTTTTCTCGCCGTTAGTGACAGTTTTCCACCCCTTTCTCACCCCCTTCTTCACCCTTTCCTCACCTTGACTCGCTTCGTGTCACTCTCCACTGTCATCCGCTGCTCTCCTCGTGCGCCTGTCCATAGGATTCCGTGGCCTGTCCTTAGGATTCCGTGCCCTGTCCTTAGGATTCCGTGCCCTGTCCTTAGGATTCCGTGGCCTGTCCTTAGGATTCCGTGCCCTGTCCTTAGGATTCCGTGGCCTGTCCTTAGGATTCCGTGCCCTGTCCTTAGGATTCCGTGCCCTATCCTTAGGATTCCGTGCCCTGTCCTTAGGATTCCGTGCCCTGTCCTTAGGATTCCGTGCCCTGTCCTTAGGATTCCGTGCCCTGTCCTTAGGATTCCGTGGCCTGTCCTTAGGATTCCGTGCCCTGTCCTTAGGATTCCGTGCCCTGTCCTTAGGATTCCGTGGCCTGTCCTTAGGATTCCGTGCCCTGTCCTTAGGATTCCGTGCCCTGTCCTTAGGATTCCGTGCCCTGTCCTTAGGATTCCGTGGCCTGTCCTTAGGATTCCGTGGCCTGTCCTTAGGATTCCGTGGCCTGTCCTTAGGATTCCGTGCCTGTCCTTAGGATTCCGTGCCCTGTCCTTAGGATTCCGTGCCCTGTCCTTAGGATTCCGTGGCCTGTCCTTAGGATTCCGTGCCCTGTCCTTAGGATTCCGTGCCCTGTCCTTAGGATTCCGTGCCCTGTCCTTAGGATTCCGTGCCCTGTCCTTAGGATTCCGTGGCCTGTCCTTAGGATTCCGTGCCCTGTCCTTAGGATTCCGTGCCCTGTCCTTAGGATTCCGTGGCCTGTCCTTAGGATTCCGTGCCCTGTCCTTAGGATTCCGTGCCCTGTCCTTAGGATTCCGTGCCCTGTCCTTAGGAATCCGTGGCCTGTCCTTAGGATTCCGTGGCCTGTCCTTAGGATTCCGTGGCCTGTCCTTAGGATTCCGTGCCCTGTCCTTAGGATTCCGTGCCCTGTCCTTAGGATTCCGTGCCCTGTCCTTAGGATTCCGTGGCCTGTCCTTAGGATTCCGTGGCCTGTCCTTAGGATTCCGTGGCCTGTCCTTAGGATTCCGTGCCCTGTCCTTAGGATTCCGTGCCCTGTCCTTAGGATTCCGTGCCCTGTCCTTAGGATTCCGTGCCCTGTCCTTAGGATTCCGTGCCCTGTCCTTAGGATTCCGTGGCCTGTCCTTAGGATTCCGTGCCCTGTCCTTAGGATTCCGTGGCCTGTCCTTAGGATTCCGTGGCCTGTCCTTAGGATTCCGTGCCCTGTCCTTAGGATTCCGTGGCCTGTCCTTAGGATTCCGTGGCCTGTCCTTAGGATTCCGTGGCCTGTCCTTAGGATTCCGTGGCCTGTCCTTAGGATTCCGTGGCCTGTCCTTAGGATTCCGTGCCCTGTCCTTAGGATTCCGTGCCCTGTCCTTAGGATTCCGTGGCCTGTCCTTAGGATTCCGTGCCCTGTCCTTAGGATTCCGTGCCCTGTCCTTAGGATTCCGTGCCCTGTCCTTAGGATTCCGTGCCCTGTCCTTAGGATTCCGTGGCCTGTCCTTAGGATTCCGTGCCCTGTCCTTAGGATTCCGTGCCCTGTCCTTAGGATTCCGTGGCCTGTCCTTAGGATTCCGTGCCCTGTCCTTAGGATTCCGTGCCCTGTCCTTAGGATTCCGTGCCCTGTCCTTAGGAATCCGTGGCCTGTCCTTAGGATTCCGTGGCCTGTCCTTAGGATTCCGTGGCCTGTCCTTAGGATTCCGTGCCCTGTCCTTAGGATTCCGTGCCCTGTCCTTAGGATTCCGTGCCCTGTCCTTAGGATTCCGTGGCCTGTCCTTAGGATTCCGTGGCCTGTCCTTAGGATTCCGTGGCCTGTCCTTAGGATTCCGTGCCTGTCCTTAGGATTCCGTGGCCTGTCCTTAGGATTCCGTGGCCTGTCCTTAGGATTCCGTGCCCTGTCCTTAGGATTCCGTGCCCTGTCCTTAGGATTCCGTGCCCTGTCCTTAGGATTCCGTGCCCTGTCCTTAGGATTCCGTGCCCTGTCCTTAGGATTCCGTGCCCTGTCCTTAGGATTCCGTGGCCTGTCCTTAGGATTCCGTGCCCTGTCCTTAGGATTCCGTGGCCTGTCCTTAGGATTCCGTGGCCTGTCCTTAGGATTCCGTGCCCTGTCCTTAGGATTCCGTGGCCTGTCCTTAGGATTCCGTGGCCTGTCCTTAGGATTCCGTGGCCTGTCCTTAGGATTCCGTGCCCTGTCCTTAGGATTCCGTGGCCTGTCCTTAGGATTCCGTGCCCTGTCCTTAGGATTCCGTGCCCTGTCCTTAGGATTCCGTGCCCTGTCCTTAGGATTCCGTGCCCTGTCCTTAGGATTCCGTGCCCTGTCCTTAGGATTCCGTGCCCTGTCCTTAGGATTCCGTGCCCTGTCCTTAGGATTCCGTGGCCTGTCCTTAGGATTCCGTGGCCTGTCCTTAGGATTCCGTGCCCTGTCCTTAGGATTCCGTGCCCTGTCCTTAGGATTCCGTGCCCTGTCCTTAGGATTCCGTGCCCTGTCCTTAGGATTCCGTGCCCTGTCCTTAGGATTCCGTGCCCTGTCCTTAGGATTCCGTGCCCTGTCCTTAGGATTCCGTGCCTGTCCTTAGGATTCCGTGCCCTGTCCTTAGGATTCCGTGGCCTGTCCTTAGGATTCCGTGGCCTGTCCTTAGGATTCCGTGCCCTGTCCTTAGGATTCCGTGGCCTGTCCTTAGGATTCCGTGGCCTGTCCTTAGGATTCCGTGGCCTGTCCTTAGGATTCCGTGCCCTGTCCTTAGGATTCCGTGCCCTGTCCTTAGGATTCCGTGCCCTGTCCTTAGGATTCCGTGCCCTGTCCTTAGGATTCCGTGCCCTGTCCTTAGGATTCCGTGCCCTGTCCTTAGGATTCCGTGCCCTGTCCTTAGGATTCCGTGGCCTGTCCTTAGGATTCCGTGGCCTGTCCTTAGGATTCCGTGCCTGTCCTTAGGATTCCGTGGCCTGTCCTTAGGATTCCGTGGCCTGTCCTTAGGATTCCGTGGCCTGTCCTTAGGATTCCGTGCCCTGTCCTTAGGATTCCGTGGCCTGTCCTTAGGATTCCGTGCCCTGTCCTTAGGATTCCGTGCCCTGTCCTTAGGATTCCGTGCCCTGTCCTTAGGATTCCGTGCCCTGTCCTTAGGATTCCGTGCCCTGTCCTTAGGATTCCGTGCCCTGTCCTTAGGATTCCGTGCCCTGTCCTTAGGATTCCGTGGCCTGTCCTTAGGATTCCGTGGCCTGTCCTTAGGATTCCGTGCCCTGTCCTTAGGATTCCGTGCCCTGTCCTTAGGATTCCGTGCCCTGTCCTTAGGATTCCGTGCCCTGTCCTTAGGATTCCGTGCCCTGTCCTTAGGATTCCGTGCCCTGTCCTTAGGATTCCGTGCCCTGTCCTTAGGATTCCGTGGCCTGTCCTTAGGATTCCGTGCCCTGTCCTTAGGATTCCGTGGCCTGTCCTTAGGATTCCGTGGCCTGTCCTTAGGATTCCGTGCCCTGTCCTTAGGATTCCGTGGCCTGTCCTTAGGATTCCGTGGCCTGTCCTTAGGATTCCGTGGCCTGTCCTTAGGATTCCGTGCCCTGTCCTTAGGATTCCGTGGCCTGTCCTTAGGATTCCGTGCCCTGTCCTTAGGATTCCGTGCCCTGTCCTTAGGATTCCGTGCCCTGTCCTTAGGATTCCGTGCCCTGTCCTTAGGATTCCGTGGCCTGTCCTTAGGATTCCGTGCCCTGTCCTTAGGATTCCGTGGCCTGTCCTTAGGATTCCGTGCCCTGTCCTTAGGATTCCGTGCCCTGTCCTTAGGATTCCGTGCCCTGTCCTTAGGATTCCGTGCCCTGTCCTTAGGATTCCGTGCCCTGTCCTTAGGATTCCGTGCCCTGTCCTTAGGATTCCGTGCCCTGTCCTTAGGATTCCGTGCCCTGTCCTTAGGATTCCGTGCCCTGTCCTTAGGATTCCGTGCCCTGTCCTTAGGATTCCGTGCCCTGTCCTTAGGATTCCGTGCCCTGTCCTTAGGATTCCGTGGCCTGTCCTTAGGATTCCGTGCCCTGTCCTTAGGATTCCGTGGCCTGTCCTTAGGATTCCGTGGCCTGTCCTTAGGATTCCGTGCCCTGTCCTTAGGATTCCGTGCCCTGTCCTTAGGATTCCGTGGCCTGTCCTTAGGATTCCGTGGCCTGTCCTTAGGATTCCGTGCCCTGTCCTTAGGATTCCGTGGCCTGTCCTTAGGATTCCGTGCCCTGTCCTTAGGATTCCGTGCCCTGTCCTTAGGATTCCGTGCCCTGTCCTTAGGATTCCGTGCCCTGTCCTTAGGATTCCGTGCCCTGTCCTTAGGATTCCGTGCCCTGTCCTTAGGATTCCGTGGCCTGTCCTTAGGATTCCGTGGCCTGTCCTTAGGATTCCGTGGCCTGTCCTTAGGATTCCGTGCCCTGTCCTTAGGATTCCGTGCCCTGTCCTTAGGATTCCGTGCCCTGTCCTTCTCTCCTTTTGCGGAGTAATGAAGGATTCGAAACGCGCCAGTTAGGATTCAGTTAGGATTAGGATTCCGTGCCCTGTCCTTCTCTCCTTCCTCCCCATCTCCTCTTCTTCTCTACGCCTCCCTAACTTCCTCTTCTCCTTCCTGCTGTTTCCTCCCTCTCCACCTCTCCTAGCAACGACGGAATCAACTCCAATCCGGATTAAAAGCGCCTCCGCACTCTCAAGGTCCAGGGAGTGCTGTTTCCTCCCCCAACCCAAACCCCCCTCCGTCCGTCCTTTCCCCCTCTCCCCCCCCCCCTCCCAGCAACGATGGCATCAACTCCAATCCGGACTGGAGGGCGCCTCTGCACTTCAACTCGTCTCGACTCACCATGTTTTGTATGCCGGGTCGTGTCGCGGATGGTGGTGTGGTCGATGGTTCTGTGATGGCGTGGGTGATGGTTGTGTGATGGTGTGGGTGATGGTGGGTGACGGTGTGAGTGATGGTTCTGTGATGGTGTGGGTGATGGTTCTGTGATGGTGTGGGTGATGGCTGCATGATGTTGCTTGCATGATAATGATTATGATGTTATGATGAGGTTATGGAGATAAAACATTTACCATCTTTTGTTTCCCTAGTGCATCTACTGTCAAAAGTGAGCTTGCTTTTGCCACCGAGTGTGCCTTTGCCACCAAGTGTGCCTTTGCCACCGAGTGTGCCTTTGCCACCGAGTGTGCCTTTCCCACCGAGTGTGCTTTTGCCACCGAGTGTGCTTTTGCCACCGAGTGTGCACATAAATAAGCCACGTTTACGTGATTTTCTCTCCTCCCATGAGATTGACCTCTTGCCTCATCCTCCCATGAGATTGACCTCGCCTCATCCTCCCATGAGATTGACCTCTTGCCTCATCCTCCCATGAGATTGACCTCTTGCCTCATCCTCCCATCGAGATTTTCTCTCCTAACCCTGTCACTCGACCTGCTTCTATTGCTGCCCACTTGTGCTGTCATTTGTCTGTTTGAGATAGCTTCTTTTCCCCTCTTGTCCTACTCTACTCCTCCCTTCCTGCCTTTCCCACCCCCATCAGTGGACTACCCTCAGATCGGCACTGATGCCTATGGTATGTGCACTCATGCCCATGCTTTGTGCTTTCTTGTATCTGTCATGTTTTCCCATGCCATGTGCGAGCCCCCATCAGTGGACTACCCTCAGATCGGTACCGATGCCTATGGTATGTGTGAGAGTGACAGATCGCAATCCTGATGCCTATGGTACGTGTGTCAGAGATAGGTCGCAATCCTGATGCCTATGGTACGTGTGTCAGAGATAGGTCGCAATCTTATGACACCGATGCCTATGGTATGTGAGAGTGACAGGTCGCAATCCTAAGTGTATAGTTCTTCTTTTCATGGTTCACCCTGGTGTAGATCATTGTGGCTTTTGTATCCACCCTCTCAACCTATGCCTATGGTATGTGCGTTAGAGTTAGAGATAGGTCACAATCCTATGTCCATATCTAAACTCTTGACCTTCTTATTTTCTAATTGGTCTACTTTATCTATTCCAGCTCAGATTGTTACACGGTTCCATGCCTGCTGACCTACTCACACAGAATTCACCTTCACTCTAGCTACCTTCAATTCAATCACAAAAGCCCATTGGTTTCCTCAATATTTGCGCATGACTCCCCCCCTGCATGCACCCCCCTTTCCCCCAACCTGAGACGTATCGAATTGGTTTCATAGCTGCTGTCCCACACGCACGGGGAACGTACCTTCACGCCCTTTCCAGAAGCCCATTGGTTTCCTCACTATTCGCGCATGACTCTCCCCCTGCCGGCACCTTCCTTTCACCCCCACCAGGATTTTACATGTCGATAAACCAGTTCTCAGGGGAGCTGGACGACTACTATGGTTCTTGCATATAGTGAGTGCTTATAGTGAGTGCACATAGTGAGTGCATATAGTGGGTGCATGTAGTGAGTGCATATAGTGAGTGCATATAGTGAGTGCATGTAGTGAGTGCATGTAGTGAGTGCATGTAGTGAGTGCACATAGCGAGTGCACATAGCGAGTGCACATAGCGAGTGCATATAGCGAGTGCATATAGTGAGTGCATGTAGCGAGTGCATGTAGTGAGTGCATGTAGTGAGTGCATATAGTGAGTGCATATAGTGAGTGCATATAGTGAGTGCATAGTGAGTGCATATAGTGAGTGCATATAGTGAGTGCATATAGTGAGTGCATATAGTGAGTGCATATAGTGAGTGCATATAGTGAGTGCATATAGTGAGTGCATATAGTGAGTGCATATAGTGAGTGCATGTAGTGAGTGCATGTAGTGAGTGCATGTAGTGAGTGCATGTAGTGAGTGCACATAGCGAGTGCACATAGCGAGTGCACATAGCGAGTGCACATAGCGAGTGCATATAGCGAGTGCATGTAGCGAGTGCATGTAGTGAGTGCATGTAGTGAGTGCATGTAGTGAGTGCATGTAGTGAGTGCATCTAGTGAGTGCATATAGTGAGTGCATATAGTGAGTGCATATAGTGAGTGCATATAGTGAGTGCATATAGTGAGTGCATATAGTGAGTGCATATAGTGAGTGCATATAGTGAGTGTAGTGAGTGCTTTGCCTCTCGGCCGTTGTTGTCACCTTGAAGTTCACCTTGAAACACAACAGGTGTTTGTGGGCGAGAAATGCGTTGTTGGCCCTCAGCCCTTGCTGGCCACTGGTTGTGCTCACATCACTCCCAACCCTTCCAACTTCCAACCATGGTTGACTCATGCACTTGCACCCCCTCTCCTGCCCCTTCTCCCCTACATCCTGCCCCTTCTCCCCTACCTCCTCCCCTCCTCCCCTGCCAGTGCAATATCCAAGTCGCAACTCCAAGCACCAGAGAATGCCACGATTCTCCGCTTCGTCGTCCCTTACTCAGAGGCCCTCAGCAATCCAGCCTACACCATCTACCCTCAGAAGGTCGCAGCCGACGGGGACTACGACTACAGCCACGGCGGCACCATGTATTTCGGCTGGACGCCAATCAACTACAACCCCGGCGCTCCCAACGAAACCGTGCTGGTTGCTAATTATACCATGATTGGCGCCTTTGCTCTAACGGGTACAAGTGCTCTGGGCACACCGGAAGCAGACAGCTTGGTGGAGCCACACTGTGCCGCTGTGAACACTCCCCCGTACTATAATCCTTTGCCCGTAACCCAGAAACCCGGGCCTGTTCCCACTGCTTGGAGGATGAACAGCACAATCGCACCCATCGGCCCTTCGTTTGTAGATATGCGAGGCGTGGTGGTATCCCCTGGGAAGAGGCAGATGTGGGTGAGCTTTATGTCGGCCTTTGGCAAGGACATGAGTGCTTCTGCCGTGGTCGCGAGGCTTCGCTTGTCTTTGAGGCTCAAGCGCAAGTGGAGGCCGTTTCAAGTGTTTCTGGAGCGGTTCAAAGTGGTGGGGGTGGGCGGAGGGAACAGCCTCATTCAGCCCACCATCGCTCTCAACAGGTGGGAGAGAGGCCATGGAATGGGTGGATGGGCAAGAGGGGAGAGAGGGATCTGGTAAAGCAGGGAGAGAGGGATCTGGTAAAGCAGGGAGAGAGGGATCTGGTAAAGCAGGGAGAGAGGGATCTGGTAAAGCAGGGAGAGAGGGATCTGGTAAAGCAGGGAGAGAGGGATCTGGTAAAGCAGGGAGAGAGGGATCTGGTAAAGCAGGGAGAGAGGGATCTGGTAAAGCAGGGAGAGAGGAGAGGAGAATGTTAACCTTACCGTGGCCTTACCGTGGCCTTACCGTGGCCTTACCGTGGCCTTACCGTGGCCTTACCGTGGCCTTACCGTGGCCTTACCGTGGCCTTACCGTGGCCTTACCGTGGCCTTACCGTGGCCTTACCGTGGCCTTACCGTGGCCTTACCGTGGCCTTACCGTGGCCTTACCGTGGCCTTACCGTGGCCTTACCGTGGCCTTACCGTGGCCTTACCGTGGCCTTACCGTGGCCTTACCGTGGCCTTACCGTGGCCTTACCGTGGCCTTACCGTGGCCTTACCATGCCCTTACCGTGGCCTTACCGTGGCCTTACCGTGCCCTTACCATGCCCTTACCGCGGCCTTACCATGGCCTTGCCATGCCTGAGGAGGGGAGTTGACTTCTCTTGTGTTTCCCTTGGCAGCATGATGGGAACCAGTGCGTGACATGACATAATAATACCCACGAGCACTTACCATTCAGGATGGGCGGGAGCACTAGGCGTGCAGCATGCACCATGCTGTATGGTGTATGGTGTTTGCAATTGCGGCCCTTCAACCACAGCAAGAGAATCACGGTAGCATCAAGCCCGTCCTCTTTCCCTCCACACTTCTCTCTTTTTGGCCAAACCGACACACACACACTCTCTCTCCCTTCACTCCATTCCCCAGGCACGGCAAGGGCATCATAGCAGTGTCACTAGCAGGGCGTTCCTTCTACCCCTCAGCTGCCTATGCCACTCTCAACGCCAATGTGGATGTCGGCCGCGTGGTCGTTACCGGCCCAGGGAAAGTGCCGCTCGACGACTTCACTGGTAAGTCCTCAGCCCTCGGGTGCGTGGCCCTCTGCTTGTTGTTCTTTCTAGTGGTTCAGGACAATACTGTCGCCCGCGGGAACGCCCTTTACACGACTTAACTGGTGAGTCCTCTCCTCTTACGCTGCTTGCTGGTTTTGTAGCGTCCAAGTAGTCGTCGATGTTGGGCGGGTGGGCTGGGGGGGCCTTACGTCCATTAACTTTAGTGGTTATTGAAGTCTAAGGAGAATCCTTGCCGGCCCATGAAAAGCTCCTCTTGATGACTACTCATATAGGGTGCTTGTGGCAGCGACTTAACAGTCGAGTGAATTGCCACCTCACCCCACTCAAGTGAATTGCCACCTCACCCCACTCGAGTGAATTGCCACCTCACCCCACTCTCCTCTTGTAGGGTATATGTGACAGAGACTTTACAGTCATGAAGAATCGCAACCTGTAAGCCACCGCCACATGTGTCACACCCACACCCTTCCATCCCTCGATCTATCCCCCCAGGGTACCGCGGTGCAACGGAGATGAGATATGGCGACTACATGTCACCGCCTCTTGAATCGACTCAAGAGCCACCGCCACCTGGCTCCCACCCACACCCACACCCACACCCACACCCACTCATCCCTCGCTCTCTCCCCCTCAGGTTACCGCGGTGCAACGGAGATGCGGTACGGGGACTACATGACGGCAACAATCGACGAGGAGGGCAACGCGTGGGCGGCAGTGCAGTATGTGGCGGGGCAGCCGCGCACCGAGTGGAGCAACTGGGCTACCTTCGTCTTCAAAGTCCACCTGCAGGGGCGGGAGGGAGAGGGGAATGGGGATGGGGGAAACGGGGGCGGGGGAAATGGGGACGGGGGGAATGGGGACAGCGGGGGGAATGGGGATAATGAGGGGAGTGGTGATAACGGAGGGAATGGGGACAACGGGGGAAATGGGGATCATGAGGGGAAGTAGGAAAAAGGGGGAAATGGAGAGGTTGGGGGGAATGGGGATACAAGGGGGACGGGTGTAGTGGGGGGAATGGGAATAATGTGGGTAGATAAGAGAGGAGAGGGGGGGGGATTTGAGGAAGTATGGGGAAGAGGAGAGGGGGAGAAAGGGGAATAAGGCTAGAAGGGGAGAACGTATGTAGAGAAATGAGGAGAAGGGGGTGATATCAGCCCTACACGTGCAGGAGTGTTTCTCTCACAGGCGTGTGTGTGTTGCTCCCTCAGCAACACAGACTCTCTCCCTGCAACTCATGCATAGCATCTCATCACTTGCCATGTCAAACATTTCCAATTGTTGTTAGATATATCTGTCAAAGTATATGCATGCTATATATGTGTAGGCTGTAGTGGGGTAGCCAATATGGGGTACAACCTCGTTTAGGGTTTCATACTTGTACCCTACTCTTCCATAGTGCATTCATTCCTGCTGCTAGATTCTAACATGGTATCAGAGCACTAGGTCCGTAGGACCGTCCTTTTTTTTCGGGCCCACCTATCGTTGCGGTTACCGCGCTACCCCACGTGTTGTCCTGCGCCTGCCTGCATGCCTTGCCTTGTGACGTGCTGCACTGCGCGCGCCGTCCTGCAGCCCTCGCGCTGCCTCCTGCTGCCCTAGGCCAGCGCGTCGCCCCTGCAGGCCTGTAAGGCCCGTGCGACGCCCCTGCAGACCCGTCAGGCCCGCGAGCCGCCCCTGCAGGCCCGTCAGGCCAGAGTGCCGCCCCGCCAGGTCGCTGACGCGCCCCCGCCCTGCCGTGGTCGCGGCCCCGCCCTGCCGCCGACGCGGCCCCGCCCTGCCGCTGTCGCGGCCCCGCCCTGCCGCCGACGCGGCCCCGCAAGGTCGCTGTCGCGGCCCGCCCTGCCGCTGACGCGACCCCGCCCTGCCTCTGACGCGGCCGCGCCCTGCCGCCGAAGCGGCCCCGCCAGGTCGCTGTCGCGGCCCGCCCTGCCACTGTCGCGGCCCCGCCCTGCCTCTGACACGGCCGCGCCCTGCCGCCGACGCGGCCCCGCCCTGCCTCTGACGCGGCCGCGCCCTACCGCCGACGCGGCCCCGCCCTGCCTCTGACGCGGCCGCGCCCTACCGCCGACGCGGTCCCACCTGGCCGCCGACGCGGCCCCGCCAGGCCGCTGACGCGACGCCGCCCTGCCGCTGTCGCGGCCCCACCCTGCCGCCGACACAGCCCCGCCAGGTCGCGGCCCCGCCCTGCCGCTGACGCAGCCCCGCCAGTACGCTGTTGCGCCCCCGAGTTGCCGCAGACGCGGCCCCGCCCTGCAGCTGACGCGGCCCCGACCTGCCGCTGACGCGGCCCCGCCCTGCAACTGCCGCGGCCCTACCCTGCAGCCGCGGTTGCGGCCCCGCCGTCGCCGCCGTCGTGCGCCTACCCTGCCGCCGCCCGCCGAGCGCCGGCCCTGCTCGCCCGGCGAGCGCCTACCCTTCCCGCCACTGGTGAGCACCTGCCTTGTTCGCGCGCTGCCGCGCCCTCTGCCTGCCTGTCTGCCTGCCTTCCTGCCTGCCCGCCTGCCTGCCTGCCGCGCCTGCCCTGCCCGCGCTGCTGCTGCTGCTGGCGGTGGCCAGATGCAGCTCCAGCGACGTCTGCGCGAGTCTCTCACGCCCCAGCAGCTTCGTGAGTGGTACGCTAGTTGGGGTTGTGGCGGTAGCCGTCGTGGCTGTCGCCCTGGAGCTGGTCAGTCGGGAGCGTCTGGCAGTGGCCAGCTGCAGCGGCGTCCGCGCGAGACACTTACGCCCCAACAGCTTCGTGAGTGGTACGCTCAGAGTAGAGGGTCTTTGAGTACCGTTCGCTGCCCGTACGTCATTCGCATAGGTGATCGGACGGGTTAGGCTTGCGGGACGCTTAGTCATACACAGTCCCGCTGCTTCGCCCGTCTGAGCGACACCTGGCGTATCCGAGTTTGGCGACGAGGCTGAGCTCCCCGACTGGGTGGAGCTGCTTGGGCAGAGGGTAGATATATTTGCTCTTGACTATGATGCTATTCTCAGTGCCATGTATGCATTGCCTACTAGTGCTGACCGTGCCTGTTATCTGTGCGTACTGCCTGACCCAGGTATAGAGCCTGCTGCTCTCGGTGCTGGTGAGGTTGCTGCTCTAGGTGCTCGTGCGTCTCCTGCTCTAGGTGCTGGTGAGGCTACTGCTCTAGGTGCTAGTGCGTCTCCTGCTCTGGGTGCTGGTGAGGCTGCTGCTCCAAGTGCTGGTGAGTCTGCTCTCTCTGGTACTGTGCCTGCTGAGGCCTTGTACACCTTCACACTTGACTCAGGTGCTTCCCGCTCCTTCTTTTGCGACAGCACCACCCTCACGCCGCTCAGCCGGCCGGTTCCAGTCTCCTTGGCAGACCCCTCTGGGGGTCCAGTCCTTGCGCACTCCTCCACGGTCCTGCCGTGTCCGGCGGTCCCGTCTGGCTCCCTGTCAAGTTTTCACCTCCCCTCGTTCTCTACAAACTTGGTGAGTGGTGTTGACCTCCAGGACCAGTGGGTTGACGAGTTCACTCCTGGAGGTCAGCGCGAAACCCACTGTACGTGCTCCCGGACGGGCTGGCACCTAGCCACCTTTACACGTGCGCCTGGCTCAAGTTTGTACACACTGACTACTGTGTCCCCTCAGGTTGCTGCGTCTGCGTCTGCGTCAGGTCAGCTAGCGGCCCCCTGCTCGTGTCGCGCTTTGTCGCGCCAGACCCTCCTTTGGCACCACCGCCTTGGTCACCCCTCGGTGCAGCGCCTTCGTAGCATGCACCGCCGTGTCCTTGTCTCTGGTCTTCCCAGGGTTCTCCCTCCCCTCCCACCCTCGCCTACTCCTCCCTGTCTTCCCTGTGTCGAGGGGCGGCAGCGCGCCGCTCCTCACTCCTCCTCGTTCCCTCCCACAGAGGCTCCCCTGCAGACTCTCCACCTGGACGTGTGGGGCCTAGCCCGCGTCTGTGGACAGGGCCACAAGCGGTACTTCCTGCTGGTCGTCAACGACTACACGCGTTACACCACGGTCTTCCCCTTGCAGTGCAAGGGGGAGGTCCCTGATGTTTTGATCCCCTGGATCCGCGCTGTTCGTCTCCAGCTCCGCGAGCGGTTCCAGTTAGACTTTCCTGTCCTGCGTCTGCACTCTGACAGAGGTGGTGAGTTCTCCTCAGACCTCTTGGCAGCCTTCTATGCAGAGCACGGCATCCGCCAGATGTTCACGCTTCCGGCCTCTCCGCAGCAGAATGGGGTTGCTGAGCGCCGCATTGGCTCGGTCATGGAGGTCGCTCGTACCTCCATGATCCATACGGCTGCCCCTCATTTTCTGTGGCCGTTTGCGGTCCGGTACACCGTGCATCAGCTCAACCTCTGGCCCCGTGTCTCCTTACCGGAGACCTCGCCCACACTGCTGTGGACAGGAAGGTTGGCGATGCGTCGTGTTTCCGGGTCTGGGGTGCTCGTGCCTTTGTCCGCAATACCACCGCAGACAAGCTCTCCGCCCGCGCTGTTCCCTGTGTCTTCCTTGGCTTTGTCCCTGACGCGCCTGGTTGGCAGTTTTACCACCCCACCTCGCGCCGTGTCTTCCCCTCTCAGGACGTCACGTTCGACGAGTTGGTTCCCTTTTACCGTCTCTTCCCCTACCGCACTGCCCCTCTCCCCCCCCCGTCGCTCTTCCTCGCTCCAGGTGCTCCCCAGGTAGACCCCCTCCTCGCTCCCGATCCTGCTCCTTCAGGTGTGTCTCAGGTAGACCCTCCTCCCTTGACTGCGCCGGTTGAGGTTACGGGTGACTGAGGTCCTGCTGAGGGTGGTCCTGCTCGGGGTGCTGCTTCTGGGGGTGTTGAGCCTAGGGGTGCGGAGCCTGGGGGTGCGGAGCCTGGAGGTGCGGAGCCTGGGGGTGTGGAGCCTGGGGGTGCGGAGACTGGAGGTGCTGAGCCTGGGCGTGAGGAGTCTGGGGGTGCTGAGCCTGGGGGTACTGAGTCTGGGGGTGCTGCACCTAGGGGCGCTGAGGCGTCTGGTGAGTAGTCTCCCAGGAGCGGCCGTCTCCGTAGTCGCTCCGCTAGTGCCTCGCCGCTACACTCTCGTTGTCGACTCCCTCTCTCCCCACAATAGCTGCGTGAGTGGTACGTTGGCCGTCAGGGTCGCGTTGCTAGAGCTAGGGGCCCTGCTGCGGGAGGCGCTGGAGCTGGTGGCTCTGCTACTGGAGTTGTTTCTGCTGGAGGTTCTGGAGATGCTTAGGGTGCTGGAGCTGGTTGCACTGGAGCTGGAGGTTCTGGAGCTGCTGAGGGTGCTGGCGCTGGAGGTTCTGGTGCTGCTGCGGGTGCTGGCGCTGAGGGTTCTGAGTCTGCTGTTGCGGGGTCTCCTTGGAGTAGCCGCCATCGTCCGCGTGTGCCTCTCACCTCACAGCAGCTGCACGACTGGTACGGTCGCCGTCAGGGTCGCGCTTCTGGAGCTCGGGGCTCTGCCGCTGGAGGTACTTCTGCTGACATCACTGGAGCTGGGAGTGGTGCTAGTCCCGGAGGTGCTCGTACTAGAGGTACTGGAGCTGCTGGGGCTGGAGGTGCTGAGCTTGAGGGTGCTACTGCTGGATACCCTGGGTCTGGGGGTGCTGCTGCTGGAGACACTGAGGCTGGAGACCCTAGGACTGGAGGTGTCGGTTCTGGGGGTGCTGCTGCTGATGGAGCTGGTCCTGGAGGAGCTAGCGCTGGGGGTTCTGGAGCTGCTGGAGGTTCTAGAGCTGCTGGCAGTGCTGGAGGTGCTGGTACTGGTGGCACTACACGGCCGCGCCTGTTCTTTGCTCCGACGACTCCGTCGTCTCAGCCACCGTCTGACTCTGTGCTTCGCTAGGTTCCTTGTCTCCCTTCGTCTACTGGTCTTCCATTATAGCCTGGCTCACCGCTGCCTGCTCCTTCTCCTTACACTGAGCAGACAGGGGGGCTTACTGAGCGTCGTGAGCCTGCGTCGCGTCCTGTCTCGCCTGTCCGTTCTGGTCGTCCCGGTTGTTGTGTTCCTCGTTCGCGTTAGCCGGCTGTCCCCCGCACCCACCTCGTAGTCCGTCGTCCTTCCTCTCCTCCGCAGCGTGTTCCCCTGCCGTCCCCTCCTGCGTCTTCTGTGCCTACCGTTCCTGAGCCTGAGTCTGACCGCACCCGTGCTGCTCACCCTACTGTCACGCATCTGCAAGCCACAGCTGTCACTGACCAGTCGTTTTAGTCTGCTGCTGCGTCTGCCTTTGTCGCTGAGCTTTTGACTTTGCTGCTGCCTGTCGTCTAGACTACGCCGCTAGTCTTGTTGCTGAGTCTGAGTCTGTCTGTCCTCCGTCCGTCGGGGGTGAGTCTGCTCTTGGCACGGACGTCCTTGAGGATAGGCACAAGGACCTTGAGTGTCTTGCAGCCGCTGCGCCTCATCTCGTGTCCATGCTGGTTGCCCCTGAGGGAGACCCGGATGCTCCAGACATCCCGACCCCGCGCTCTTACACTGAGGCAATCACGGGTGAGTACTCCTCTCAGTGGTAGACAGTCATGGACGCAGAGATGGCATCCTGGAAGTCCACATGCACTTACGTCGACGAGGTTCCCCCTCCTGGGGCGAACATCGTCAGTGGCATGTGGATTTTCAGGGTGAAGCGGCCGCCATGTTCTTCGCCTATCTTCAAGGCTCGTTACGTTGCTCGAGGTTTCAGTCAGCGAGAGGGAGTTGACTTCTTCCAGACCTTCTCTCCCACCCCGAAGATGACCACTCTTCGGGTACTACTGCACGTTGCCGCTCAGCGTGACTACGAGCTTCACTCTCTTGACTTCAGCACAACTTTTTTACAGGGCATCCTGCACGAGGAGATCTGGCTACGCCGCCCTCCTGGCTTCACTGGGTTGTTCCCTCCTGGTACCCAGTGGAGCCTCCGGTGGCCTGTCTACGGTCTTCGCCAGGCGCCACGTGAGTGGCACGACACACTGAGGACGACACTTGCTGCTCTTGGTTTTACTCCGTCGACTGCTGACCCGTCGTTGTTTCTGCGCACCGACACTTCGCTGCCGCCGTTCTACATCCTCGTGTACTTTGACGACTTGGTCTTTGCCACTGCTGACACTGAGGCTCTCGCCCTGGTGAAGTCAGAGCTGCAGAAGAAACACACGTGTACAGACCTGGGTGAGCTGCGCAGTTACCTTGGCTTGCAGATCACCCGGGACAGAGCACGCCGCACCATGACACTAACTCAGTCACACATGGTGCAGCAGGTCCTTCAGCGCTTCGGCTTCACCTGGTCCTCGGCACAGGCCACTTCTCTTGCTACAGGTCACTCGCTCTCAGCTCCACCTTCGGACGAGTCCGTAGAGCCGAGTGGTCCTTACCCAGAGCTAGTGGGATGCCTCATGTACCTAATGACATGCACTCGTCCTGACCTTGCGTACCCTCTTGGCCTTCTGGCTCGCTACGTGGCTCCTGGTCGGCACCAAAAGGTGCACATGGATGCTGCTAAGAAGGTACTCCGTTACTTGTGCAGTACATCGGGCATGGGGCTCGTGCTTGGAGGGCGGAGCCCAGTTGTCCTCACTGGGCACTCGGACGCTTCTTCGGTTGACGACCTGGCTACGCAGTGGTCGTCACGGGGTTACACCTTCAGCCTTGGCTCTGGCTCTGTTTCTTGGTCGTCTACACACTCGTCCTCTGTTCTTGGCTCCAGTTGTGAGGCTGAGATGTATGCCACAGCCATGGCTGCACAGGAGCTACACTGGCTCACCTACCTGCTGACCGACCTTGGAGAGCGGCCTCGTTCTCCTCCAGTGCTATACGTAGACAACAAGGCCGCCATTGCCTTGTGTCAAGAGCACAGACTAGAGCATTGAACGAAGCACATTGCTCTGCGTTACTTCCTCGCTCGAGAGTTGCAGCAGCGTGGTCAGCTTCGTCTTGCTCACGTGGCCACTCGGGCCAACACTGCTGATATATTCACCAAGGCACTTCCGTCTGCTGATCATCAGCGTTTTTGTACTTTGTTAGGCCTTGTGCCCACGTTTCCTCGCTTGCTGTAGACTTTGCTTTTACTGCGATCTATATATATGCATGCATGCTTGCTCTGCTAGGTAGAGATCACTGTGCTGTTGTTGTTGCATATATACCTCTGCATGTGAACTGGTCTTGTGGCCTTTGCTTGTGCTCAGTGTGTGTGGTGACGTTGTGATCCACCCTGAGCTTGCTTTGCTTCTCTTGACTGGTCTTGTGACCCTTCATTCTCCCCCACTTTGCCTATGGGGGTGTGTGAAAGTATATGCATGCTATATATGTGTAGGCTGTAGTGGGGTAGCCAATATGGGGTGCAGCCCCGTTTAGGGTTTCATACTTGTACCCTACTCTTCCATAGTGCATTCATTCCTGCTGCTAGATTCTAACAATATCTGCATCACTTCTTATCATTCAACAATACCATACCTGTTTGCTGCTCGCTCGTTGGTCTCGTTTTGGAGAATTCGCATGCAATCCACAGTATGCCATACAAGTGGGAGAACTGCTACGCCAATTAAAAACCTACTACATGAACACTGAAGCGTTTGTGCACAGCACGTACCGTATTGATGTTTCCTGCGTGCTTGTGAGTCGACTCAAAAGGAAACTGCTACGCCAAGTAGAACATAGGCGAGCACTGAAGTGTGTTGGTGCACGTATTGATGTTTTGTGCGATGCCTTGGGAATGTTTCCATTCGTGCGCGGTCTAAGTGGTGGGCTGACAAGTGGTCTTTTTGAACGCGTACAACGCTGTTCTTACTATCTGATAAAAGGTTGGCCTGATAGTGTAGGGGGTCGTAGGAACATGCCCTAAGACTCAGACCCAATGTGAGCCTGGAATCAGGGCAGCCATATTGCCACCAAAAGCATTGCACCAATCACAGTTGGATCTTAAAAAGCAACGTCTCTTCCAGGTGCTCCCTCGCAATGGATACTCTTGAGGCACCTAAAAAAAGCGTGAATACCGTACCCCAGTTGATCCGATTGGTTCTCCTTGGTCCTCAATGGAGATACAGCGCGGTACTGTAGTCCAAATCACAGAAGGACCTTGGCAATAAAAGTACGGTACCCCAGTTGCTCCAGTGGGTCCTGGGTCTCCCTTGCACGTACTGCACTGCTGCCCATGCGTTCCCCTCTTTGGCCCTCTGTCACAGAGGCCCGTTGAAGATAGAGGTACCCCAGTTGCTCCAGTGGGTCCTGGCCTGGGCCTCCCTACCACATACCGCACTGCTGCTGCCCATGCGTTGCCCTCTTCGGCCCTCTGTCACAGCTGCACCTTGAAGATATAAAGTACCCCAGTTGCTCCAGTCAGTTCTGGGCCTCCCCGGCACATACCACAGCACCCCTGATGGTGCCTTTTGAACCCCCACCAAGAACGTTCACAGTGTGACCTTGAAGATGTAGGTAGCCCAGTTGGTCCAGTGCGTTCGTGGCCTCCCCGGCACATACTGCACGGCGCCCCACGCATTCCCCTGCTCGTCAATGCCTGCTGTCATGTAGTCTCCGTATCGCACTGCCTCAGCAAACCCCATGTACCCTGGAATGGGAGAGGGCAGGTGGGGAGTGGGGGAAAGGCGGGATTACGGGCATTGGGGCGAGGAGGGGAAAACGAAAAGGGGGACTTGCGGGTCTGCATGCATTCTCCCCTCGTCCATGCCTGCTGTCATGCAGTCGCCGTACCGCACTGCTTCAGCAAACCCCATGTACCTGGAATGGGGGAGGGAGGAGAAGCGGAGAAATGGATGGAAGCAGGACTGATAAGCGGGCGTTCTCTGCCTCGTCAACCTCTGCTGTCATGTAGTCGCCATACCGCACTGCTTCAGAAAACCCCATGTACCCTGGGATGGGGGAGGGTGGAGGAGGACGGTGGGAGGGGACGGTTTGAGGAATCGTGCGCTTTGCCCTTGACACAGCATTGGCAGCAAGGGAGTAAGAAATCCGCGTGCATTGAGGTGGTTTTTGAGGCGCCTCAATACCACCTCAGTGCCCTTTGCCCTTGACACAGCATCAGCAGCAAGGGAGTAAGAATCACCACAGCCTATCCTGCTCAAGCCACATCGCTCACTCACCCGAGTAGTCATCCAATGCTGCCCCGCCAGCACCAGCAACCACCACGTCTCCCGCCGCTGTCTCTCCGTTCACAGTCGCATACGCAGCAGAGGGGTAATAAGACGGCCCTGCCAGCGACACTGCCACGATCCCCCTCCCTCGGCTGTTCATCGCTAAAGACGGCTGGATCAACCCGTTCCCCTTCACCCCAACCATTCTGAACCGCTCTAGAACCACCTGTAACGGCTGCCACCGCCTTGTCGGAACCAGTGACATGCGCAGGCGTGCTATCACAACGTAAGGGCCCTCGACCTGTAATATGGAGGTGCCAGTCATAAAGGTGAGCCACATTTGCTTCTTCACCGGTGCCACTACCACTCCTCGAATGTCCGTGCTTGAAGGGTCTATAGGTTTGATTGTTGTCCCATACTCCCATGCCAATGGCACAGGGCTCCATTTTTGTTTCACATAGCCCGTCGTGAAATATTCCGGGCAGGTTGTTGCAGCGTAGAAGGTTTGTACGCGGGAAAGCGCCTGTTTTGTGCCCAGGAAGCTTGTCCCCGTTATAAGAAACGCCCCTATGCGGTTTAGGGTTGTGAATGCCTGTGTGTCTTGGTTGTATCCGAAATACATTGTTCCGCCGTTGGTGTAGTCGAATGGCGTATCTGCCGCTACTTTCTGCGGCCAAACGGTGTAGTCGGGTATGGAAGGGTTGTCACTAGTGGGGATGGCTATACGGAGGATGAAAGTGTTGGTGGGGCGAGATAGCTGTACTTTGGATATAGCACTGGAGGATGGAGGGGATGGGCGGGGGAATAGCGTGGAGAAAATGGGGGATGAAGGGTGTGAGGGAAAGGGGGGAATCTGGTAAATGGGGGGAATGTGGGGGCCGGGGAAAACTGGCATGGATGGAAAGGGACCAGCTTACACTGTGATGAAACAAGACAAGAGGTTGAAAGCGGTTGAAAGCTGTTGAAAGGTGTTGAGAGCAGTGTAAGGTGGGCGCACTCACAAGATGCTGACTCCGAAGTAACCGTCATCTTCGTACGAGAAGTGGTTGGCTGAGACATAGAAACCTGGTTGCCATGCATGCATGGCGGCAAGGCAGGCATGATAGGAACGGAGGCACGGAGGCATGGAGGCATGGAGGCATGGAGGCATGGCAGGCATGGAGGCACGGAGGCATGGAGGCATGGCAGGCATGGAGGCATGGCAGGCATGGAGGCACGGAGGCATGGAGGCATGGCAGGCATGGAGGCATGGCAGGCATGGAGGCATGGAGGCATGGCAGGCATGGAGGCATGGCAGGCATGGCAGGCATGGAGGCACGGAGGCATGGAGGCATGGCAGGCACGGGCATGCACATAGACAAGTATGTATGTCATGTGGTGCGCATATGGTATGTAGGCATAAAATGCAGGAACGGTTTGCAGATACCACATATCACATGAGCTAAGCACTCCGCACACCCTACTGGACCCACTCTGCACCGCTCTTGACCAATGCAAAAAGCGCAGCAGAGCACAGCACCGCACTACACCTCTGCATCTTACCGTATCCGTCCGTGCCTATCTGAGGGTAGTCCACTGCATTACAGTGGGAGGGGAAGGGGCGCAGATGGGGAGGGAGGGGGAGAGGTTTCGAAGGAGGCAACGGGGGAAGAAGGGGGAACAGAATGGGGAGAAGGCGCCTTAGCACACGAATTCAGACACAGAAGGGAGGAAGCTTGCACAGGAGGTTTTAGTTAAAAGAGGTGCTGGAAGGGAAAGTGACTCACTGAAAGTGACTAGGCGTTTGGTTGGGAAGTTGAGAGGGGGGCGGAAATCAGCGTGTGAATTCTTCCCATCGTTCCTGTGCCATGCCATACCATTCCATGCCATGCCGTACCATCCCATACCATGCCACGTCACGCCATGCAATGCCATGCCATGCCGTGCCATGCCGCACACAGGACAGGATGTCCACAGGGATGGAGAAGAGGACTTGATGTGGTGGTGGTAGCTAGCAATCAACAGCACGTAACCTCGTGTACTGAAACTATATGCTGTGGTAACACAACGTGCATGGTATGGTAACACAACGTGCATGGTATGGTAACACAACGTGCATGGTATGGTAACACAACGTGCATGGTATGGTAACACAACGTGCATGGTATGGTAACACAACGTGCATGGTATGGTAACACAACGTGCATGGTATGGTAACCCTATCATAATGTGCCAACAGTGCACATAATTTCCCATTCACAGCAGACTCTCACGATGAGGGGATGAAGAAGAGGTTCCACGGTTTGGTGGGGTCGGGAGTGGTGGAGGCAGCAACGAGCACCCCAGTCCCCACTGTTGTCCCGTCCGCCCGATACCTCGTCTGCCCAAACCTGTCATATGCGTTCTTGTCCCCCCCCGACTGGAAGAACGGGGTGAGGAGGAGGGAGGGAGGGAGGGGTGAGGAGGAGGGAGGGAGGGGTGCGGAGGGAGGGAGGGAGGGGTGAGGGGGGAGGGGAGAGGGAGGGGAGAGGGAGGGGAGAGGGAGGGGAGAGGGAGGGGAGAGGGAGGGGAGAGGGAGGGGAGAGGGGGCGCCTCAAAGCCCGATACCTCGCCTGCCCCAACCTGTCATACGCGTTCTTGCCGCCCCCAGAATGATGAAAGAGAGGGGGCAGGGGAGACAAGGGGAGTCTTTTGAGGAGCAGCGACATCCAGAATCATCCAGCATCACCCAGCATCACCCAGCATCACCCAGCATCACCCAGCAGCACCCAGCGTCACCCAGACACTGTGATGCACCCCCATCAGCACTCACGGTCCAGTATGTAGCGAGGTAGAAGCGTTTGGAGCGGTGGTCATACGTGCATGTCATGTCGCCAATGGCGTCTCCCTTGGGCGCGCCCTCGTATGCCCCCATGTTGCGTGGCAGGGCGTTGAAGAACTGCCACAGGGGGGGTGTGGGATGGCGCAGCAGGGGAGGAGGGAGGAGGGAGGGAGGGAGGGAGGGAGGGAGGGAGGGAGGGAGGGAGGGAGGGAGGGAGGGAGGGAGGGAGGGAGGGACAGACAGGCAGGCAGGGAGGGAGGGTGTGCAATGGCGTCTCCCTTGGGCGCGCCCTCGTATGACACGATGTTGCGTGGCAGCGCTTTGAACAACTGCCGTGGGGGGTGGGCAGGCCCAGGGGTGAAGGAGGGAGGGAAAAGGGGAGGGGAATGGCAAGGCGGGGCGCCCTCCCTCCACCAACCTCGAAAGAGGGTGTGGGCCAACCGAGTCATCCTGACACGTCACGTGGGTGTATCTACCATATATTGCAGGACAGCCTTTCATATCCCAGCCTTGAACTGATACCCTCGCCCTTATCTAAACGGTTTAGATTCGCTCACTGAAGCCCCTCCCCTCCTAGCTCTCCCACCCCTCTCTCCCCTCCTCTCCCTCCCCCCGCCCCTTCTCTCCCCACCGCACCTCGTTGTGTGGCGTGATTGCTGTCAGTTGCTGCCCCTTGGTATTATACACTACCAGAGCTGTGTGGGTGGGTGAGAAAGACGTGTTTGTAAAAGAAGAGACATAAAACGTGTTGCGGAAGATACTATTTCGATGAAGGGGTGTGCGTGTGTGCGTGTCAGGTGAGGAATGTTGCGATTGGAAAAGCATACATTGCATCAAGATAAAGATCAAATACTCGTCTGAAAGGCGGAATGCGGTGACCACGTACCAGTGTTGACTGTATGGAGGATAAACCCGTTCCCCACACACATGACAACATCCGGAGGTGTGACTCTGATCTGAGACAGGGATGCGCGGAGAACCATGGGGTGTGGGGAAGACGGGTGGGGGGGGGGGAGGAAGAGAAAGAGCGGAAAAGAAGGCCGGGAATTGGAAGGTTGAAGGGTGGGGAAGATGCGAGAAAGGTGATGACGGTGGTATCTCCAACGCGTTGACTTTTGAAGCGCCTAAAAAATCGTCTTTTGAGGCGCCTCAAAAATGGAGAAAGGTGATGACGGTGATGTCTCCAACGCGTTGACATCCACTGAAGGATTTCTGTAATAGTTGGGCGGCACCACTCACCATGCTTCGGTTGTATCTGGGCGGGGTGCCACTGTTAATCAGCGACTTCTGGTTGATCCCAGGGAAACCCACCACCGGGTGACTTAGAGTCGACTCGAAAGGCACCTGGATATCTAGTCGCCAGCACTCACCATGCTTCGGTTGTATCTGGGCGGGGTGCCACTGTTAATCAGCGACTTCTGGTTGATCCCAGGGAACCCCACCACAGGTTTCCTCACAACCACTTTTTTTAACTCCACCGCCGCCGCCGCAGTCCCTGCCCCTGCCCCTGTCCTTGCCCCTGACCCTCCTGGTGCCCTTGCACCCGCCGTCTTGTCTTTCCCGCGTTCCCCCTGCCTGCCGACCGCCCCTTGCTGCGCTACCTCCTCCGCGGACTCTTTTTCCGCCCACAACCGCCGCAACTCGGGATTCCGCGGCCATCTGCGCCGCGCGCCAGGCGTTACCCCGCCGCCGCGGCGATTTGCGGACGCGCCGTGGATTCGGCGCGGAGAGACCTCCCCACTGGCGACCCCGGGTCGCGGAGCAGCGTCAGGCGGAAGGTCCGACAATATCTCTGCGGAGTCCGCAGCGGCTGCGCTTTCAGCGGTAGTGCGGACATCGCCGGCGGAATCGGCGAACAAAGAAGTTTCCGCTGTGTGAGCGCCAGACGCGGCGCTCCGCGCCCTCCGCAATGGCGCAATCTTTCCTGTTCCCGCGTACAGCAGCCGTTCCGTCAGCTTGTGGATGGTGACGGCTGCGCGAGGAGTTCCCGCCTGTCCGTTGGCGGAATGTTTCCGCCAGGGCTGTGCGCTTGCTGTCAGCGCCGCGGGGAGCACTACTAGCACGAGCGCCAAGTACGCGGTGAGACGGAATAAAGAAAGCTTACGTCGCGCTGGCGGTGCGCGAAATCGCAGCGACGCCATTGCTGCGGGTTGCGGAGGCAGTATTAATGACGGGAATTAAACGGTACAGATCGGTAGGTTGCGTTCAGCCCAGCCAGACTCAAGTTGGCAAGTTCGGTCCAAAGTTTGAAGGTATGTCAGCTCACCCAGATTACTATCGCAGAACATGGGATGATGAAGCCTGTTTCGAAAGAGGCTGAGTATGGCGGACTCATGTCTGGTGTGGTGGAGTCGTTGACACGGTTTTCTGTGATTCAGTAAGATAAAGAGTGTTTCAGTACGGTAACTGTGCACAGATATTAGTGTGTGAATGCGGCCCAATAAGGTGCCTCGATTCAGCCTTGTGCAAAAATGCGGTCCCAGCCTTGCTGGTTTGTGCTTTTGTGCGCCCATGTTGGAGATCAGTGCTTTGTTCCACAAGCGGTGTCCAGTGCACGCAATCGGGTGCAGAAATCCTGGATCGGACGGTCGAGAAGCTTGATGACTCTAACGATTCGGTAACCCTCAAGGTGGTTGCCGAGCCGAGTCATGCTGAGTCAACGTGAGACCATGCAAAAACGCCTCATACACATTATAGCAACCGCTCTTACACGCAAAAACTCATAGATATAAAAGTAGTACAGCTTACATCCACGCTGTTTCCACTGTTGCGAGTGTGTGTCACTCCCAGAGCGAAAAATGCCCCTTGCGTGGCAGGATCTTGGAAGCTCCGATCTGTCGAGAAAGGCGCTGGTGCGTGGACTTGCCAGATCAGCTAGCCCAGCTGGCAGCCAGGCGTGGAGAGGGGCTGTGTTCGACGATCTCAAGGGAAATCCCCCTTCACTCAACTTTTCGGGCATTTATCTTAGCGGTAACACTCATTGGGGTCGATCGCACGCAAGGTAAGCCACGTGTCCAAATCGTAACTAAAGTATCTTCCGATTGCCTCCATGGTAACCAACGTGCCAGTTTGGTCAACATTATTTCCAGAATGGTAATGAACAGTGCATTCCGAAATCCCAACTGGTAACTCGTCAGAACATCCGCGATGTACACCGTACGTACCCTGTATGACTCGGCAAAACTGAAAATGAGATGGATATGTCAGAACTATATAGCTTATACTATTGTGTAGGCTATAGTGGGGTATCCCATAGGGGGTACAACCCAATTAGGGTTTCCTATTTGTACTCACTTCTTTCATAGTCATTTCATCCTCGTTCTCTCTTTCACATGGAATCAGAGCAGGTCCCCTACTAGGGACTGTTTCTTGGGCCCACCGAAGCGCGCCCCGAGGCGCGCGTCCTTTTTTTTTTTTTTAGCGACCCGTCGTGTCGCCCTCCCTAGCGGCCTGTCGAGCCGCCCTACCTTGCGGCCCCGCCGCCCTATCGCGCGGCCTCGCCGCCCTAAGTCGCGGCCTGCCCGCCGCCCTACTTCGACGGCCCCGCCGCCCTACTTCGACGGCCCGCCCGCCGCCCTACGTCGCGGCCCCGCCGCCCTACGTCCCGGCCCGCCCGCCGCCCTACTTCGACGGCCCGCCCGCCGCCCTACGTCGCGGCCCCGCCGCCCTACGTCCCGGCCGCCCGCCGCCCTACTTCGAAGGCCCGCCCGCCGCCCTACGTCGCGGCCCTGCCGCCCTCAGCTACGCGGCCCCGCCGCCTTCTGCTACGCGGCCCTGCCGCCCTCTGCTACGCGGCCCCGCCGCCCCTCGATTGCGGCCCCGCCGCCCTCTGCTACGCGGCTCCGCCGCCCTCTGCTACGCGGCCCCGCTGCCCTCTGCTACGCGGCCCCGCCGCCCTCTCCTACGCGGCACCGCCGCCCTCTGCTCCGCGGCCCCGCCGAGCCGCCCAGCATCAGCCGAGCCGCCCAGCAGCAGCCGAGCCGCCGCCGAGCCGCCGCCGCCTGAGCCGCCGCCCGGGCCGCCGCCGAGCCGCCGCTGCCTGCGCCGCCGAGCCGGAGCCGCCCGAGCCGCCGCCCAGCCGCCCAGCAGCAGCCGAGCCGCCGCCGAGCCGCCGCCGCCCGAGCCGCCGCTGAGCTGCGACCGAGCCGCCGCCCGAGCCGCCCGAACCGCCCGAGCCGCCCGAGCCGCCCGAGCCGCCCGAGCCGCCGTGCTGCTGTTCCTGAGCTGTGTTCTTCTGCTGCTGACCTACCCGACTCTCCCAGCCCGGTGAGACTTCCAGCTGCTGCCATGGCCACCCCCAATGTTCTTACTTTTGACGCTGAGGGGAGGGCCATTGACTTTGCCGTCTGGATTGAAGACCTGCAGCTGTACTTACTGTGTGATGCGATAGATGAGGTCTCTCTTTTTGACTTTGTCTCTGGCGCTGTTCCTGCCCCACCTGCTGATGTTGACTCTGCCGTTCGCTCCAAGTGGGCGACCCGCGATGCTGCTGCACGTCTAGCTGTGCGTCGCCACCTCCCTTCCTCTGAGCGTGCCCACTTTAGTCAGTGCAAGACCGCTCAGGCCTTGTACGACGCTGTAGTTGCACGCTACTCCTCCCCTTCCTCCGCTACCCTTAGCCGCCTCATGCTACCGTTTCTCTTCCCTGACCTCGCTTCCTTTCCCACTGTCGCTGACCTTGTTACCCACCTCCGTGCTAGTGACACCCGCTACCGCGCTGCCCTTCCTGCTGAGTTCCGCGCTGCGAACCCTCCTCCCATGTACATCACCCTCTACTTTCTCGTCACCCGTCTCCCTGAGTCCCTTCGTGTCGTTAGGGACCAGTTTCTCTCTGTCTGTCCCACCACTCTCACTGTCGACCTCCTTGAGGAGTCCCTGCTAGCGGCTGAGAAGAGTATTGTCGCTGTAGGGGCCTCTCGGGGTGACCCTCGCACCCCCATCTTTGAGGGGTGTGGTCCTTCCCCCCTGCTGCCCTCTGTCGCCTCTGCCGCTGCGGCCGACCTCACTGGTTTTGAGTCGGTCGGCGCGGCGTCTGCCCCCAGCGGCGGACGCCGCTCTGGCAAGAGCAAGGGGGGCAGGGGAGCTGGTGGAGCTCGAGGGGGCGGTGGAGGAGGCGGTGGGGGTGGCGGGGGGAGTGGGGGTGGCGGTGGGGGTGGTGGCGGGAGTGGAGGTACTGGTGGCGGCGGTGGAGGCGGAGGTGGCGGCGGAGGTGGTAGCGGAGGAGGCGGTGGGAGCGGTGGGAGCGACGGTCCTGGTGGGGGAGGTGGCGGCGGAGACGGGGGTGGAGGTGGAGGCGGGGGTGGCGGTGGAGGCGGGGGTCGGAGTGGCTCGTCCCAGCGGAGCAGCTCTGGGGGTGGTCAGCGCCAGCAGCAGCAGCAGCAACAGCAGCAGCCGCAGCAGCAGCCACAGCAGCAGCAGCGCTCTCGCACCGTCCCCGGCCCTCAGCAGCTCCGTGAGTGGTACTTGCAGCGTCAGCGTGGTGGTGCGCTTGGTCCCTGCCCCTACGTTCTTCGCACAGGTGACCGTGCAGGGGAGAGGTGTGGAGGCGCCCACACAGCCCGCCGCTGCTTTGGCCGCCTGACCGACGCCTGGCGTCAGCAGTTTCCGGAGGCCGCTGAGATCCCCCGCTGGGGAGAGCTGTCTAGGGCTGGTGTAGCTATTTATGATCTTGATTTTGATGCTATTCTCTCTGCTATGTATGCTGTGACTGGTAGTGATGAGGATGACTGTTACCGGTGTTTCCCGCCCGACCCGGGCATTGGTACTGCCGCGTCAGGTACTAGTGAGGCTGCTGCTCTAGGTGCCAGTGCGTCTGTGCTCTCAGGTGCTGGTGAGTCTGCCCTCTCAGGTACTGTGTCGGCTTCGGCCTCTCACACCTTCACCCTTGACTCTGGAGCGTCTCGCTCCTTCTTTAGGGACCGCACCACTCTCACGCCGCTGAGTCGGCCGGTTGCGGTGTCCCTGGCTGACCCCTCTGGGGGGCCTGTCCTGTCTCGCTTCTCCACTGTCCTCCCGTGTCCGGCGGCCCCCTCTGGCACCCTGACTGGTCTCTACCTCCCCTCGTTCTCGACGAACTTGGTGAGTGGTGCTGACCTCCAGGATGCGGGTGTCCACCAGTTCACCCCTGCTCGTCAGCGGGTGACCCACTGCACGGAGGCGGATACAGGTCGCCACCTGGCTACGTTTACACGTCGGCCAGGGTCGAGCCTGTACACACTGACCACTGCTTCTCCTCCAGGTGCTGAGTCTGGTAGGGTCCCTTCGTCTGGTCAGGTGTTTGCTGCAGCGTCCAGGTCTGGTCCTGAGTCTGCCCCCTGCTCGTGTCGTCGTCTGTCTCACGAGACCCTCCTCTGGCACCACCGCCTTGGCCACCCCTCTCTGCTTCGGCTCAGAGGCATGGCCTCGCGAGTCCTTGTGTCTGGTCTTCCCCGGTCTCTCCCTCCCCTTCCTCCGGGCCCTGGCCCTACCTGTGTCCCCTGTGTCGAGGGGCGCCAGCGTGCTGCCCCTCACTCCTCCCAGTTTCCTCCGACAGAGGCCCCGTTGCAGACGCTTCACATGGACGTGTGGGGCCCAGCCCGCGTCCGTGGACAGGGTCAGGAGCGCTACTTCCTGCTGGTGGTTGACGACTACTCGCGTTACACCACAGTCTTCCCCTTGCG